GGTTATAATTCTTTTAATATTTTTTTTAGATTTAATTAGAATTTGATTATAATTCTTTTAAAATTTATTTTTATATTTCTTTAGAATATGATTGAAATTATTTAGAACTTATTAATATTTGACTATAATTTTATAAGAATTCAATTGTGATTTGATTAAAATTTTATTAGGATTTTATAAGATTTTAATTAGGATTAGATTACGATTTCACTAGGATTTAATTAGAAATTGATATAAATGATAAGAATTTTATTAGTATTTAATTGAGATTTGATTAGAATATGTTAAGATCCCCTAGGATTTATTTCGAATTTATAAGAGTGTAATAAGATATATCTTGGAATTTTTAAAGATTGATATAATATAATTAGATAATTAGAAGCTTATTTAGATTATTCAAGGTTGGTAAATTGTGTTTTTTAAATAATTTAAGAATTATTTGTAATTATAAATTAAACTTCAAGGTACCATCAAATCCTTCTATAGTTGAATATCTACTACATTTTTAGGTTAGTTTTTACATAATATAATACTAATTTAAAATTATAGCTTTTCAAGCTATGTAAGTATTAGCTAAATTGACCTTGATTATCTCTATGGCTTTAATAATTGCTTTTAATGCCTTCTCAACTTTGGTTCCTTATATTAATTTTTTATTTTCAAACTTAACATCTATCTTTAACTAACTCTAAAGTCTTAAGAATTTTGCAACTCAACTTTTTTAAGTCAATTACATTTACTCTTTTTTTGAACTTTCTTTTCTAAAAGAAATAAAATTTGATGAAGAACTTTATTTTGTTGAGATAGCATACTTTGAATAGAACTTCTTTTTAAATTTTTTTCTTAGACTTTGCCGTGCTTAATAATCTTTTTGAAAAATTGATCTTAATTCTTATATATTTATGTGGTTTTTATTATATTATCTAAAGTAGCCAAGATAATATTCTAAATTTAAAATTACATCATATCTAAAAACTTACTTAAATAAAACTAAATTCGTATATTAGAATTAATCAAATTTTTAAATTTCAATAAAAGATATTTAATTTATTATCCATACCTCCTAAAATAAAAATTCTTATTTTTTTATAGGTTGGATAATTTTTTGACAATCTAAGTTAATCCTCTCGACTCTTAAAATGTCTCTCAAAATAATTTGTAGAATTGAATTATAAAGATTTTGAGTTCATCCTTAAAACGTTTTTTTTTGTCTTCTTCTTTTGATAACAACTTAACAATTTGGATCTTTGACAATGGTATCAAATGCTCAAGTCAATACTTGGAAAAAAAAGATCTCTTCATTAGTAGAAACTAGGAGATTAATATGCTTAAAGAAGACACAAGATTGTTTTCTTGATGATCTAGTCTGATAAGCCAAAGAGAAGTGAGTTCCAACATTATGGCTCTCTTTTTCCTCCATCTCTACTTCAAAAGGAAGATTTTTCTTTTTGTTGGATTTTTTTGGAAAAAAAGGCATTTGATCACCACATTTTACCCTTTTCTAACCTATGAGTCTTCCTTCTTGTGGTTGTAGTATCCATTATAATTTAGATACATCAATCCTTAATTCTCTCAAGGAATTTATAACTTAAATTATTTTTCTTCTTAAATTATGATCATCTTAAAAATTTGATTTCAACATCAAAAAAATTGCATACTAGTTGGTTTCAATCAACACATATAGTTTTATCTTTATATTTCTACCAAAGAAACAAACCAAATTTGTTATTTTATTTTATTTTATTTTTTACCTAGGCCTTAGATTGTAGAGATAGGCAGTTAATATTTTTTATTACTATTGTTATCCATGGCTGCTTTAACTCAAACTTTTGCTTTTTGTTTCTCTTACCTTGCTGAAATTACTCTTATAAGTCTAATGAAGAATTATAGTGGAAATACCATAGTCTCTTCATAACTCCAAAATAAAGAATATACATCCCCTATCTTTAGAGCAAGTCATACAAGATCTTACTATTCTTCTATAGTACTACTATGGCAATACATTCTAATGTCTTGATGATACTAGATTATATTACAAAATTGTTGTACATTCCAACTTAATATGTATTACTTTACTACCTTGATAAGATAAGCTTGAGATCACCTCTCTCACTTTTTAGCCAAATATTAGTCAATTCAACCTTCTCAAATCTTAGTAAAAGGATAAAAGTTGTTAAGCAAAAGAAGACAAGTACATCATATCAAGTACTATGACCGTGATAGCAAGTTCTACAATACTCACATATCAAAGTCCCAATATAAGATATTTGCAAAATTTGACATTATTCAATGTGAAAACTTCAATATTTATATTATTTTCTTCTTCTTAATCGACAAATTTCTTAAGGGGGATCATTAATAGAAGGCCATAAAGAATGTAGAGCCCTAGTCTAATGCCACCTTTCTAACATATATACTATATTAATTTCTAAACTATTTTATCCATCTTAATTTTAAAAACCAAAATCAGGTATTTCTTATCAGATCCACCTATTTCTTAATCTACCTTGACTTCTAAAGTCATAGAAAGTTGTTTCAAGAAGCATTTGATTTGATGGTCTGAAAATCACTTAAGTCATTCAACCATCCTATCTAAGGCTCTTGTTTCCTCGTTTACAAAGAAACTCAATATGCAATATTTTTATAAAATTTTATATTTCCATTTTTTCTTATTTAATCTTTCTATTCTAACTACCTTAATTGTATCCTTTGTATTCTATTCTTTTAATCAAATTAATGCTTTTAGCTTCTATTAATTTTTATTCTATTTTATCATAAAATTAAGGTTCTCATAACCACCATATTGATGACTGTTAAAATACAAAGCACCATATCATTGTAAGAAGCTATGTCTAGAAATCTATTCAATAGGATTTATAATTTTTTCCAAATTCTACTCTACTTGAATATATAGGTGGTTTCAATTAATCAATGAAATATATTATGTGCAAATATACATTTTCAAACCACTTATTGATATTATGACTATTTGACTAGTTACTATTAGAAATCGTTTCTCAGCTTTAACATTGATTGATTAAAATAGATGTAAATTACAAAAAGATCATGTATAAAAATAAAATAATATAGAAAAAGAATCCTCCACCAAAAGTCTACTTTGTCCTAAATTTAAAAAATGGTAAGTAGAAATGATTCAATAAACTATATAATATGCTTATTTGATACTTCTTCAAGTTGTATACTCCATATGCATCTATTTCACTACAAATTCAACTCTCTACTCTCTAATTGAGAAGAACACCAAGCTAGAAAAATGATCTCCCTAATCCAAACCCCTTACAGTTAACAATCCATTGAATAACATATAATTATGATTTGAGACACAAAATTCTTCTACAAAATCCATAGGCTAATAAAGTAAGCAAACAAGCTAATTTGAGATTGTTCAAATAAGTTCTTATAGTTATATGATTTTCCTATCAAAGTTTATATCAAATACATCGTCTTTGGCTACTACCTGTTCTTTCAAGGCTTGTTTCTCCTACAATACAACATCACACATTTACTCTTTTTCATTAACATCCAAATTAACAGAAAATACTATTTATTCTATAGTTTGGTTCATGATGCTACATTTATAGCTTGATTACAGCCACAATTGTCATGTTGGATAATTGCTGCAATTAACGTCTTTGCTCCAATAAATCCTCTCTTCCCTCCCTTGTGCATAAATTTGTTTATGTCCAAAATACTAGCTATATTACTACAATCAAGCAACCAAGACATTGCTAAGGCATGTCATCCTTAAGCCATGCTTATTGGATGTGGGACTCATCAAAATTCCCTCCAATGTTCTTTTTCATCCTATGTTACTTTAGTGGGATTTGGGGTTTTTGTTTTAAATGGTTCTAATCCTACGGGATTTGGACTTTAAATAGGATACCAGTTTTTGGTTTCAATTGTTTTATACAAATTGCATCCATAATGTTGTAATATTTGTACTAACTTTGATATGAGAAGGTTTTATTAGAACTTAGGTTTTGTCCTCCACAATCAAATACACGCAAAAGCTAGTCTAGTTCACCTATGTAAGGTTTTAGAGTTTTTAAGGTTTTAGACCAAACTTGTTACTTTTTTGTAATATACTTCTACTTCAAAAGTGTTCGAGACACAAACAATAGTCTCTATAGGAAAGGTTTTAGTATACTACAAAGATCACATTCTAATTAGTCAAAAAAATGTGAAGTTAGTCCACCATTATTTATCAAATCCTTTTAACATGTTAATATCTCAAGCAAAAGAGAAGAATGCACCTTCGCTAAATAACAATAATTTTGCTCAATATGAAAGGCAAAAGTTATCTTGGTTGCAACATGATAAATTTGGTAGGCATTGCAAGCAATCTTGAATAGGGAGTCCTCTTTCAAGGACCTAATAGTTCAATAATGTAGTAAATAGATAGGCAACAACCATTTGAAGTGGAAGATACAAACATTACAAATAAAACAATGATAGGATGTTTTCATCATACTAAAGCAATGGAAGGCGTTATTGTCCATGGCCATGCCTCCTTAATGTATGACAATAATGGTGCTAATAATTATTTAACTGAGTTTTCTCCTAATTCAAAGATAACATCACAATACAATATGGAAACAATATGTTAAAATACATCAATTTCAATTTGTGGGATTTAGTGACTCATTTGAGTTGATGCCACTACAATTTGATGGAAGATAGGTGCATAGAATGACAAAATGTGAAGTAAAATGAGAAATGCAATCAAATTTTTTCCTTTTCCATAACTTTGTCATCTATTTGTTGTTTACATGCTTTTGTACTCCATTTTCTAGAGAATTGTTGTCGTTTTTGGTATTTGTATTGTGTCTTTGGTGGTTTTGAAACCATTTTCTATTGATTTTGTGTGAATTTGACCATGGAGGCCAAAACCTAAATTCTAATAAAACCTTCTCATTCCTTCTCATATCAAAGCAGGTGTGTAAATTACAACACAGTAGATGCAATACATACAAAACAACTGAAACAAAAGATTGCTGTCCTATTTAAAGTCCAAATCCCATACAATTGGAACCATTTGAGACAAAAACCCTTAACCCCCAACCCCACTAAGGTGACACAAGATGAGAGAACACCGAAGGGGATCTTGGATTATCACACATTCAGTAGGCATGGCTGAGGGATGACATGCCGCGGCACCGTCTCAGTCGACTAATTGTAGGGACACAACCAGGGTTCCAAGCGCACGGGAGTTCAAGCACGAGGGATGAGGATGAAAACGCAAGTCACAGCGGCAGTCCAACGTGGTAGCCAGAGCAACAGTCAAGCCACGAACGCACAATAGTTGCGGAGGTTATAGAACAAATAGCGTTCTCCTAAATCAACACCATCCCCTCCACGCTAGATGTCTAACGTTCTCATTGTCCATGCTCGGCTCCCAGAACGTACGCGCTGCATTGGCACCACTCCTCATCAAAACGCCTCCATTACCCGGTTTCGGACGCCTTCCTGTCCCGTGCTCGTGACTCGTGTCCAAGGCCTGCTGTGCTGCCTGCAACGCACCTGTGAGCTACTTCTCCACGTCCTGGGTTGTCACTCCCGGCACGAGTCGCGACCCCGTGGCGGACGTGGATGACAAACCCGACCTCTCGCTGACGGTTACGGCGGACACACTGGTGCTGCCGAGGCTATTCAGCCCGACTCTCCCCGCCTATCACTGCGTCAACGGCGCCGCTGTGAAGTCCCCTGCAGGTGCATCTCAGCCTGCAAAATGCTTGCTCCACACCAGCGTCCAGGGTTTACTGTACAGGAAGATCCGGGGATGGTGAACGTGCACCTCGATGCGCTTAACCTGGCGAAGGTCGTGACCGCGGCTGTGGTGGTCAACGAGACTCCACTGCTGAAACCTGCAAGACCCCATGATCCTCTACCCTTCTGTTGACCCAAGGTGCGTCCTTGCGACGGACTGCGTCGCTCAACCTGAGCAGTGCACACGGCAGGAATAGGGTCCCCCCAAGTTGTTGCTGTCGACATTGACCCGAGGCAATCGATGCCAATGTGATCCGATTATTCCCGTCGACAAAATTTGAATACGCTTCACGTCGCTCCATTAACAGCTTCATCCTGTCCCGATTATCGATCCTGCTCATCGCATGCACAGCCTGGGTTCCAGCTTCCGGTGACAGGAACCATCGTCACACGCATGTCACCGACGTCAGTCACTGAAGTCGGGGTGCGGCACGATCAAGCGTGCCGTCCGGAGTCGTGCAATCGATCGTTCACGATTTCACTACGGCAACACTTCCTGCTCTATCTCCAACATTCTCGGTTCCAAGCCAGGGCGGACACGACGATACTTGTGCCGTGCACGTCCGGTTCTAATTCCCATTCCGCCACCAGGACGATCTCAACCGGTGGCCTTGTGCAGTCCTGCTCCCCACCTCACGTTTCAGCGCATTGCGTTTGTGCCCGGGGCCGCGCTGCAGCCCTCGCTGTCACCGGTTTCGATCCACGTTTCCGCACCCTTACCTCTCTCGCATACAACCGGATCGTCGCCGCTCTCCGATCGCGCGGGCTTCGACGCACGCCTCGACGAGCTGCCCACTCGTGCCGCATTCAACGCGCACACGCGGGACACTCACACGACTGCTACCCGCCTCGTCAATACGCGACACCCCAGCATCCAACCACCCACCCGCTGCCCATGCACAACATCCCTCACAGACCCTCCACGACTTCCGCAGATCGAACCACACACCACACCCGCATCCGCCGACACACCCCCCCCCCCACAAGTCCACAACAGCATCACCCCCGCCACACCAACCACCACGCAAATGCACGCATACCAATGCAATCATAATTCTCGGCGTAACGCCACCCCACAACTATTTTATACCAGAGTCGCTCAAAACATCGTCCCACCTACTGCAACTCCTACTTGCCCACGTACCACCATCTCACGTGAACCACACAACTGCCTCCACATTTGTACGTTTCTCTTTACACTCAACTCGCCGTGAAAACGGTACGCCACTTCCCCCTCCCCCCTCCTAACACTCACGCTACTATACCTCCTTCACAATCATCCTCCCTTCCAGGAGACCGATCCCCTCTCCCTCCTCTCCCATCTCCTTCGCGTCCCACCACTTCGCCTCCCATCTCCACCCGAACCCAACGCCTCCGTCTGCCGGAGCCCCCCCCCCCAAAAGTGCTGCTTGGCGCCGCGACTGCCCTCGCCGCATCCTCTTCGCCCTATATCCCGCTTCGCCACCCACTTCACCCCCGTTCTCACTTGCAAGTCGTCAGCATCGAGTTCACCACATGCGTCACCAACCGCATCTGGATCGCTAAATCCCCGGGTCCTGCGACGTTCGCCTGCCGCTGCAGGTTCGACAGCACCTGCTCCAAGATCACCCGGACGTGGCCCGCCACTGTCGGATCCTTCGGATCCAGACACAGCACTGCCTCCTGTATCCATTTCAGCTTGCTCTTCGTGTCCTTCTCGATCTCCACGCCCAACTGTTGCACCAGAGATAAAAGCACGCCCTGACCAAATGGCAGCGCTGACCTCGTGAACACCGACGTCGGGTCCATCTGCACCACCACGCACCCACATCACTGTCACACCATCTCTCCTCTCCACAACCTACGACGCCCCACACCATCCCACCTCAACATCCACCCGACAACTCTCAACCGCGCTCCCCTCCAACTCTCCCCCCTGCGCTTTCCCCGCTTTCCCCGTCCCAAACCTCACACCCCCTTTCTCACTTCCCCACACTCGCTCGCATCGCCTTGTCCGGCGCCACTCCCCTCCCTACAAAATCACTCCACGCTCCCACCCGCCAAGACCACACCCACCAACTGCCTCTCCACGTCCACCTCGTCCCTCCCACCCACCCACAACACCAACACTGACACCCCCGCCCCGCCTGTAACGACTCCACCGCTCTTACCTGGTTGCACAGCCACGCCACCACATCCACATCGTCCGCAGACAGC